GAATCTGAGACTCTTCTTGTGCCTTGGACCCGCCCCAGGGTCTTTCTTGGAGGCCTTTCCTAGTGGAAGCTCTACTGGGCTGAGCTGGTAATCTTTTTGAGTGTTGAAAAGTTTTCTTCGCCAGATGCCCCTCCCCCGAACAGGGCCCTTTTGTCCTAGGGGCTCATGGAAACATGAGCTGCCCATCTGCCTTTGGGGCCCAGGCTTCTCAGCTTGCAAAATAGTTGTTTGGGACAGCAAAGGGGGTGTGTGGCATATATATGTATATATAAGTGTGTGTGTGTGTGCGCGCGCGCGCACATGTGTTTTGTTTTAAGGAACAGCAAAGTTTGCACATGTGGGAGTCAAAATACATGGGTGCAAGAAGACACCTGGAAGACCTGTTGTTCCAGAAGGAATAAGAGAGTAATGGAGTTTGCCCTTGGATTTGTATAAAGGGGACAGAAAAGCATCGCACAATTCTAGGGAGAACTTCTAGGCACGGTGGGCCATGTCTATAACAGTGGCACTCAGAAAGCAGAGGCAGGAGATTGCCACAAGTTTAAGGCTGGGCTGGTCTATGTGGTAAGTTGAAGGCCAGCCAGGGCTCTAGTAAGACCCCATCAAAAAGAAAAACAGAACCAAAACCCCTTTAAGAATTCTAGTTAAGAAAAGCACACTCTACTCTGTGCCTACAGCTCAACTCATTTATTTAAATGTATTTAAACAGACTTACTTAGCACCTGACATTTGTTCATTACCTTGGATGGTTGATCCTTGTGTTCCAGAGCTTAGCTGTTTTTCAGAACTGAGCACCTACTAGGCAGTAGAAGCAAGAGTGGATAATCTGTAGAGTTGGTGGACAGAGGGCACTTGACTTCTAGGAAAGATAATGAACAGGAGATGATGAGACTATTTATATAATTACACATATATGCATGTATTTGTAAATACCTAATAAAACTAAATTATTACTCTATGTTATAATAGCTTCATAGAAATCTTTGCCTAGTAACCAGAGGGTTAGGTAGAAGTAAAATAAGTTGGTTTTACTGAAGTGTGCTGATTTCTGCCTGCTCCTTGAGACGCCCCCTACACCTTTTGCTGGGAAAAATAAACACTACCTGGAAGAGTAATTGCCACAGCTATCTTGTTTGCTGTTTGCTAAGAAATATATCCTTTTACCTGCCAAAGTTTGTATGCCCTAATTACTACTAATGTTAAGGAGGGGACAGGAGGATAAGGGGCAGGGTCACCACCTATGCCTCAAGTCAAGTCTGGCCACCTGAATTAAAAGAACCAAATTAAAATAAAAATTAGAAAAAAGGAGATTTATTTAATGTGGTCACATTGGGACGATGCATTGGGTGGTTCACTTTGTCCTTCTCCCCAATTTGGTTACATTGAAGTTTGATCACTCTAACAAATATTTACTTACATTTATTGCTACCTGAAAAACATCTCTGTACAAAAAATGTCTGTTCCTGGCCTGACCATGGTGTCGAACTCCTTTAATTCCAGCACTTGGGAGGCAGAGGCAGGCAGATCTCTGTGAATTTGAGGCCAGCCTGGTCTACAGAGCAAGTGCCATGATAGGTTCCAAAGCTACACATAGAAACCCCCTCTTGAAAACCCCCCCCCCAAAAAAGTCTGTTTCTGTAAACATGCCTGATGGAAATTCATTTTGGTGGACACAGGACTCAATGACAACCACTGTTTCCAGATCTATAAAAGTTGCAGGACCTTTTCAAAGTGTGAGCTTGGGTTGAATCCTCTTATAATTAAAGAGTTTCTTCTGTTTTTCCAAGTTCATGCTCTGCTCTTGCTGGCTGGAATTTCCCTAACAAGGAATACATGTGCAGATAGATAGTGATGACCTCAGTGCTGTTGGAATTGCTGTAGGGGACAGAGGTAACTCGGAAGAGAGGCAGGCAGGCTAAATCAGAGTAGTCTGGGCAATGGGATTAAGAGGGGACTGGGGTCAGATGGGAGGGGAAGATGAAAGGGGAGTTTGGATTAGATCTTCTGGCTCAAGAAAGCGGCCTGCGCCTGTAAGCGTTGTAATGATGCCTTCCTCTGTCTTTGTGTTCTAACAGAACTGTATCTCCATATCACAATTATATTACAGTTTTGTAAGTCGTATGCTTAAAAATTCTTTCAGGTGTGCTTGCCCATTATGTAGGAGGTGTTGGGATCTACCTTAGTACCACAGAAACAAAAAGTAAAAACAGGAGCCCAAACATTCAGGCACACATGCCTGCTGCTCGCAGCAGCAACAACAAAAGTCTCCTGGTGATTACCAGTCATCACCAAGACAAGGTCTAACCTTTCCCAAACTGACCCTTCCTCACTTTTCTGGTTGTGTTGTGATTATCTAAGTGACACACTGGACAAGAAAGCATTTAAATTTTCCATGTTTCATGAGTTAGCAGAATGAACTATATAAAAGCATCTAGGACAGAAATCCCGGCATACTTTAGCCACCTTTCTGAAATATCTGGTCCTTGGAGATGAGGATCACTCATGAGGTACTGTGACACTGAAGAAGGGTGAACATATGGAGTTGCATAGAGTGCAGTGTATCAGGGTCTTACCAAAGTAAGGTCGAGGGTGGCAGCAAAACTAGCGGCTCCCAGCTGGGCACTGTTGGCACACCCACCTTTAATCCCAGCACTCGGGAGGCAGTGGCAGGTGGATCTCTGAGTTTGAGGCCAGTCTGGTTTACAGAATGAGTTCCAGGATAGCCAAGACTGTTACACAGAGAAACAGTGTCTTGAAAAAAACAAATAAACAAACAACCCAACATAGAACTATTGGATCCCAGCAATCTGGGTCAGAAGGCTCATAGCTCAGTGTAGAACACTTGCTTAGCATGCGTCAGTGTCTTAAGTTTGATCCTTATTACCTCCCCCTCCCCCAGCACAGTATAGTTAAAGCAGAGGTGACTTCATCCATTTCAAGTATATCTGATTGATTTCAAGCTGGTATCAAAGATGTCAGGGACATCCCCAGGTCAGGGTCTGGTTATAGACCAGTGCAGGAAATTATTTTTGGGAAAGCAATCAGTATAGAATCATTTTGACTTAAGATGCAGTCAAGTCAGATTGAATCCAATGCTAAAGCATTTGTATTTGTAACGATCTTATATCACCTAAGAAAAGTTAAAACTCTAGTAATTCATATTTTAAAAGACATGATACCTCTGGAGATGATTTCTGTCAAAATGTCTAAAATTTTGCAACAGTCTAATGGGTTAAAGAGATAAACTTCGATTATCCACCTGCGTTGCCCCCCAGTACAACAAACTCAAGGATCAGCAAGCTTATAGGAACCTGACATCTCAGCAGGAAATAGGGCCACTAGCTAGGAAGGCTCTGAGTAGTCCCAGCTGCTGTAGTGCTGAGCTCTGGCAGGAAGGCTGGGGGCCCAAGCCTCTGGTGTCCTAGCTGTCCTTCCATTGTTGGGCTTTGTCTTTGTCAGCATTTCTTGGAAATTGAGGCAGGTTCTCTTTTGGTTTTGGTCCATATTTGGGAGATAAAAATAAAATGCATATACATTTTGGAAGAATTGACTGACTGAACATGCTTCACAAGTTATAGCAACGTCAGATCTTTATGGTAAGGAAAAAACAGTGAATGCCTTTGGCAAGTGGACCACTGGTAGGCTTGCTTTCCCTCAATCAAAGAAACAGAGCTCTTGATGGTTATTGGGTTGGTTGATTATTGGGCTGGTTGATTGTTGGGTTGGTTGGTTGTTGGGTTGGTTAACTGTTGGGTTGGTTGACTTTGGGCTGATGGTTGGACTGGTTGTTGGATTGGTTATTTGTTGGGCTGGTTGTTGGGTTGGTTGATTGTTGGGTTGGTTGGTTGTAGTAGTGGAGCTGAAACCTGGGGTGGAACATGTTAAGCAGTTCCACCTGAGCTCTAGCCCTGCAACCAGTAGCTCAAGGACAGATCTTTTAGTCCAGAGTTCTTGAGGCCATTTTCAGATAGAAAGAGGTGTCATTGTGTGTACACAGAAGGGCATGGGTTCTAAATACATGTTCCAGTGATCTGAACATGATTCATTCAGCTGTGGGGAGTAATGCAGAAATGAGCAGAGTGGATGCTTTTTACACTGATACAGTTCAATCTGCACTGTGTACCTTCCACACACCAATAGTAGGTGTTGCCAAGATTAGTGTCTGTGAGTTTTCCTCCCATGGGGTATGAAGTCACCTTCCTTTCAGACTCTGAATGGGTCAAGTGGGGGATGGGAAAGGAGACTGCCCTGCCTGACAGAGGGCAACTGCCTGCATTTCCACACTGGTGTGTCTCTGTCTGGTAATCCTCAGGTGGAACAGGTAGCCTGAGAAGCCTGAAGTATGGATTAGTTTCTGCCAATTGTGCCAATATAAAGGATGAATGCACCTTGTTAGCTGTGAGTTTGTGCAGTCAGTTCTGACTGAAGTCAAGGGAAAGCAAAGCTGCAGGAAACATGGAGCTTTCTAACACTTGCTTGGGAATGCAAGTCATGCTGTCCGGGAAATACTTCGCTTACCCAGTAGGCTGTCCTCTGCCAGTGCTGGAGCTCTGGAAAAGGGCACTGAAATTATTCCAGGAAAACCCTTGCAGCTTGGCACTACGAGGAAGTGGCCCATCACTTCTGTCTCTAGCCAGGTTTCTTAGGAGTACAGGTGGCCAAAAGAAAGCTGTGCCTAGCTTTGGAAGATGATTAGGTGCTGGGCTCCTGGCTGTTCAGTACTGTGTGTATGGATTTTGTGCTGGGGCCCACAGTACCCCACACCTGTGCTGAGTGAGAGGCTGCCAATTGGGTTGGGTGGAGATAAACAAAGCAAATAGGCACCCGGCTGCAGTATGCAATTCGTGCAAGTTCCTGAGTTGGCTGCAGACTGAAGACTGTCTCTCCCTGCTTGTAATTTGCCCAGCTGGGAAGGGTGCCTGTCCCTGCTAATGAGACCTTTTGAAAGCATTTTCCTCACACCACCAGAAGTGTCGTGAAGCCGAACTGCATCAGTGGGAAGAGAAGGAGTGACAATGGACCTAGCTATGGAGAAAGCTAAGGGCAAGGTGCACCAGAACCTGGAGCAATCTTTCCTGGCTACTCTGAGTAATCCACAGGTGACATTACTGTCTGTACACAAGAGGTGCTCTTTCAGGAGGAGCTCTGGGGTTCGGGGCTTGGCCAACCTGGAGTCTTCAGAGGAGAAAGATCCTCCCCAGCCAGAAGAAGAATTGTCACCGTGTGTTTTAACTAGAACCCTGGAAAGGAGTTCCCAGGTCAGTGCACCGGCTAAGAGGCTCTGGGGACTGAGACTAGGTTTGCACTTGGAGGTAGATCTAGGTTTCCTATGAGGAGAAACTTGGCTGTGTGTGTGTGTGTGTGTGTGTGTGTGTGTGTGTGTGTGTGTGTGTGTGTACAGGTGTCATACTCACAGGAGTCAAGTCCAAGGGTTAGGGTCAGGTGAGAGTGTGAAGTTTGGATCTTGTTGCTTTATATTTTCAGGAAAGTTTGTTAAGCACAACTTTCCCAATCTACAAACTAGACAGGCAGGTCTCCCTTGGGTTTATTTGTGACAAGCATGCTACACAGGTCTCTGTCCCTGCTTCATACTTCCCCTTTCTTCCTTTTTATGAACTATGTTCCTTATTTTGCTGATCTCAACTTCTCAGACAAAATACTTTAAAAACGTGGCTTCAAAGGGAATCTGCTTTTTCTTGAACAAATCAATGTAAGTTTTGTTCTGCCAAAGGTTATTTTTGCTCAAGAGTCTGTACAGGGTTTTGTAAGAGTGGTGGTTTTAATTGCGTTTCCAAGTGGACCGGTGGTGGTCTACATGGGATTCTTTCCTTGAATCGGCAGGTGTGGGGAAAAATCATTTTGAAGGCATCCATCCTCCTGGAGACAAAGAGAAGTCTTCATTAAACACTTCCCCTCTTTTAAGAGTTTTTCTGCTCTTCATTTTTGTTGTCCCATTCTTGTTTATTTAATATTTTTATGCAGGATCTTATTCTGTAGACCAGACTGGCTAAGAACTCACTGTGTGTAACCCTGTAATTTACAAAAATCCTTCTGCTTCAGTGTCCCAAGTGCTAGGATTACAGGGTTGCTACCACCATGCTTCTCCTGGTATTCACTCATTGAAAATTCCCAAACCAAATTGTGTGTGTGTGTGTGTGTGTGTGTGTGTGTGTGTGTGAGAGAGAGAGAGAGAGAGAGAGAGGGAGAGAGAGAGAGAGAGAGAGAGAGAGAGAGACAGACAGGGAGGGAGGGAGGGAAAGAGAGAGATTGACTAATGTTAAGGACCTATTGTTCTTGGATATTGATAACAAACAGTTTTATTTAAAAGATTCCATATTTTGCTATCATCTCTTTAACCAGGACACTCAGATTTATTTTATTTTGGTTTTTTTTGAGACAGGGTTTCTCTGTTTAACATCTCTGGCTATCCTGGAACTATCACTTTGTAGATCAGATTGGCCTTGAACTCACATAGATCCACCTGCCTCTACCTCCCAAGTGCTGAGATTAAAGGTGTGTGCCAGTATTATCCTCTGAGATATTTATTTTTAAAATAGTAAAATCATTTTTTTTTTTTTTTTTTTTTTTTTTTTTAAGTTCAGAGATAAGGCTTAGTAGGTGTAGAACATGGGCCCTGGTTTAATTTCCCCCAATTTTAACTGCTTTTTATTTTGGATGAATTTGTAGATAGTTCTAAGAGACCCTTTCCAATTTTTTTTTTCTGGGCAGGGATGTGTGAAATTGGCTAGTTTGGGTAGGTCAGGCAGGCCAGACACAAACTCCATGCTCAGTGTATTTCTGTTACTTTGCTTTCCAGGGAGAGTCACCGTTCAGTTTTTACTTTGAGGCTCTTTAAACTACATTAAACAGGCAGGCAAACTGCTCAACCTTTTAGAACCCTAAAGAATAACAAAGCGTTTATTCTGATGCATGCTGTGTCACTGGTGTACGAGACTCATAGCTGACGTTTATATCTTTAGCTAAGTGTTGTGGAAAGGAGACTAGTAAGCGTTTTCCTTGGGGAAATGCTTCAGACTTCCTGGCCTTTGTAAACCCAGACTCTGAGATTCAAGCTATGCTGCATTTTAATGGTCAGCACTAGTCTCTTGGGCTGAGAGTCCCCTGAACCTGGCAAGGGTGGCAGCCGCTCAGAAGAGAAGCTGACGAGGAAGCCTTACTTAGTAGGCACTCCTCATTTCATTATGGGCTCCACTTTAGGTTTTGAGACAAGGTCTCACTGAACCCGGAGCTCTCCTCTTAGGCCAGACTAGCTGGCTTCATGCTCAAGAATCCCTTCTATCTCCTCACTGGTGCTGGGATTACAGCTGTGTGTGGTGCCTTGCTTTTTAAAAGTTTGTGTGCTGGGGTCAAGTTCAGATCCTCATGCTTAGATGGCAGGTATTTTACCAACTAAAGCAAATCACTGATTATGATACTGTGTTAGGTCTATTATAAACAAAAATTCATGGGAAACTTCTTCCTAAACAAATTTGTGGTGGAATGAGAGGAATATGGGAAGATAAAATGAAGAAAGTGGTCATTTTCCCCCTACATGTATGCATATGTATATATATGACTGTGTTTGTGTGCACTCATGTGCATATTTTCAAATATGGAATCAGACCTTCCTGCCTCAGCCTCTTAAGTGCTGGGATTATATGTGTGAGCCCAGATAATTGCCTGATCTTCTTTTAACTTAATTGTTTGGGGAACATTTTCTGTTAGTATATAGATACATCTGCATTATAATTTTTATTCAAATACCATTTTAAAAAGTTGAGATTACTTTTTAGAAGGAATTTAAATAATCTTCAAGTAGAGGACATTTAAAGTAACTGGTTTATGACCCTAGGGACCAATCTACAAGCCCATTGTAGTTGAATACTTGTTCACTGTGAACAGTGTATTGCATCCAAGCCTGTTATGGATCAAAGTTTGGATGTCCGTTTAGCAATTGGCATTGTATGTGTTAATTGCCACTTACTTTCACCATAATCTAAAGAGGTATCCTCATCACTGTAGCAGCCACGAAAGCTCCTGCTGCCGAGACTTAAAACTTGAGTTTGATCTCCATGTCCCACACAGGGAAAGAGGGGAACCAACTCCTGAAAGCTGTCCTCTGACATTCACATGTGTGTCATGGCATGCTCATGCCCTTCACACACTTACACACACACACACTCTCACACACACACAAAGTAATTAAAAATTTTAAAGTTGCTTTTTAGATTAATAAGTTTTTCTTGCTTAAATCTTGTGTTTCTTATACAACACAACATACATTCTATTCAATTTAGAATTAAATCATGACCTAGTTCTGTTCTGCACTCTTTTCTTTTAGCAACTATAGATATCTTTTCATATGTTCACATAATGAAATTCTCAGAGTTTCAGAGAAAATGTCCTGGGACCTAGGACAAAGGCAATGGGCATTTAGCATTTTGATAAGCACTACCTATTTGAGAACTGCTTTTTGAAAAAGTACACATTTACCTTTCTGTAAACACTGGTTGTGAATTGTTTCTGCATGTGCTTTCTTATGGTCCCAACAAGCTTGTCAGCTTGTCAGTGAAAAGATCTTCATATCTTTATACTTAATATCTTAATACTTTAAAGTGGCTTTGTGAGCCACTCCCAGTTCTTTTTCTGAAGACTGTAATAATGAGTTCTCGTCATGTATGTGTTCAGTAATGCTGCTATAAACATTGCATTAGATTCACAGCGACATTTTTTAAAGATGTGTGTTTGATTTACATGAAGCTGGTCTACCTGTGCTTCCCCGCAGAAAGAACTACATTTCTTTGCCACTATAGCAGAGGTCATCTATCACCCTATGGGCTGCGACCCCCAAAGACCATGGAAAACACAGAAATTTGCATTATGATTCATAACACTAGCAAAATTACAGTTATGACTAGTAACAACAAAAATAATTTTATGATGGGAGGTCACTATAATCCGAGGAATCTGTAAAGGATCACAGAATTGGGAAAGTTGAGAACTACTTTAGTTTTTTTTTTTGTAATAATAAAATTCATTCATCAAATATAGTCAAATATGATCATTTAACAGTCTAACAATAACAACAATACCCTAAGTCTATTGATTTCTGTCGTGTGGTATAAATATAGTTAGTGCCAGTGCTGACATTCTAATGAGTTGATATGTGTTTACACATTCCACGTAACCCTTTTACATAATCATATCGCTTGGTTTTTATTTTTAATTATGTGTATCTGTGTAGGTATGTGCAATGCATGCGGGTACCGGCAGAGGCCAGAAGAGGGCATCAGATGCTCTGGAATGCATGCTAGGCAGTTGTGAACTTGACATGTGTGCTGGGAATGGAAGGGCAGCCCTCTGAAAGAGCAGCACACTCTTAACCACCAAAATCAACTCTCCAGCTCCACCTTGTGGTTTTCAGTTAGGTTACTTTACGATTACTTTAGTCAAACTTTTTTTTTGTTTGTAAGACTTTTACAGTTATTTGATAGAGATTAACCTATCAATTAAGCCTTTGTTGTTTGGTAGGGAAAGCCACTCTTCTTTAAGTGGAGAGTTATTGAAGAAAATACACATTCGAAGGCAAAAAAGTGTGTGTTGTGGAGTAGTTGTTACAATAGGACTAGTTGGAAGCGCTGAGATTTCTTTGAAATAGCTGGTACAATTTTGCAGGAGGATCTGTGAGAAATGACAGGAAGGGAAGGCCAATGCAGTGTGGGGAGAATCCAGAACCCTTTACCAGCCAGTATCTGCTTAAAATCCTCTTACTTGCCTGCCGAGAATCAAGGGTTCCAGCGTGATTGACATTTGCTTAAGGCCTTTCTCTCTTCTCTGCTTAAAACCTTACAGTTTCTAGGAATCCCATCAGAAACTCCTTATAGTAAAAGAACATGTCCTAACCCTTTTGTACAATCCTGTTTTTTAAAAATCGGATTGTAATCCCACTTGGGGCACCTCTAAAGTCACTCTATAATTTCATTTATTAAAGAGAAAAGGATGGGGCTAGGGAATCAGCTGGTGAAGTGCTTGCCACACCGGCGTGAGGACCTGAGTTAGACCCCAACATCCATGTAAAAGCCAGGCTCATGGCCTCTGAAATCCCAGTGCTGGGGAGCCAGAGGCTGGAGGATCCCTGGGGCCTTCTGGCCAGCCAGTGTGTCCAAATCAGTGACCCCCATTCTGGCCCTACACATGAAAGGTTTTGTTTTTATTTGTTTTAATTTTAAAAATGAAAAGGAAAGACTATTAGCAACCC